CTGGAATATATTCCATTGGTTAAAACAACAAACAATAACCTGTAAAAGAAACGCCCACTAGATTATTTAAAACCTGTAGTCCAGTGACTTGTCCATTTATGTAATGGGAAGTCAGTTGTGCATTTCCTCTCTTTCCTGATGTCACTACATACCTTCATATGTGAAATTGAGCATGTACTGCTTTTAATGAGTACCCATTTCTGTGCATGCATGTTTAAAATAAAATATCATTTTGCACAATAAATTAATTAAAGCTGGTGTAATATTATAACCTGGAATACAAATGTACATGAAACCGAGAGATCTGTATGGAAATAGAACTCAAATTCTCTACCATGAAGTAGAGGCTAAAATGTCTATTAAAAGAGTTAACATGGGCACATAAGCAAATATGGTGAAGACAGCTGATGGTGCCGGCTATCAAAAATATAGTGTCTGGGATCTTACGCTTGAAAGTAAACAAGCAGCCATCTAGCTCAGAAGCAACGAAGCCCACATGGAAGAAGCACACTAGCCTGTGTGATCACGAGGTGGTGAAGGGATCCGTTATCAGTCATCAAAGAACAAAAAATCCAGTCATTGTGCATGAGGGGGAGTGCAGATTGGAGACCCAAGATCCATCTGTAGGCAACTGGACATCCGCTTACAGGAGGGTCACAGGGCGGAGATGAGCCAGTCAGGGTGCAGTGTAGCAACAATGAAACATACAACTTTCCTTTAGTTCCTAAATGCTTTCCCTATCCACCCCTCGCCATCCCCCCCCCCACACACACACTATTATGATCCCAATACTACCTTACAAATCTAGCTAGACCAGAGGATGTACACTGGTACAGATAAGAACTGGAAATACGGGGAATCCAGGACAGATGATCCCTTCAGGACCAGTGCTGAGAGTGGCGATATTGGGAGGGTGGTGTTGAAAGGGTGAACCGATTACAAGTATCTACATCTAACCCCCTCCCTGGGGGATGGACAACAGCAAAGTGGGTGAAGGGAGATGTCAGACAGTGTAAAGATGTGAAGAAATAATTTATAAATTATTAAAGGTTCATTAGGGAGGGGGGAAAATGAGCTGATACCAAGGGCTTAAGTGGAGAGCAAATGTTTTGAGAATGTTGAGGGCAGCAAATGTGCTTTACACAATGGATGGATGTATGGATGGTGATAAGATGAGCACCCGATAAAATTATTTTTAAAATAAGATTAAAAAGAGTTAACAAAGTGTAGGATTTATCCTATAAAAGGAGCTAGGGATGTTGATAATGGGAGTCCAATATAGGTTATTAAGAATAGCCTCCTTTATTTCTATCTTGTAAATTCAATGTTTTTTGCATACATAATACTTAAGACTTACTCTTTTAAAAAATATATATACACTATTCTAAATGTGTCATCCATTGTGAGGTTTTGATTTTACATTTTCCTGGTACAGGAAAATGGTTGGATCATGGGTGGCAAAATAAAATGGATATTAACTGATTGATTGAATACAAACCTACAGAGAAAATTTGGGGGGTACATGTGGTTATTAATTTTACATTATGGCATGACTTTGAAGGACAGGGAAACAAGTGAAAGTCCTGAAAGGGGGTAGTTGATGAGAAAGGAGATAAGAGTGTTAGACCGCTAAATAATAAAAACTAATATCTGTACTGATGGATAATGAAACATTCTCTTGATAATTAACTAATTTATTGAATCATTTACACATTCAGAAGTATTTATTCCTAATTGTAGATTGTCGTTCAAAGAAAGAATCTTATTTCATAATTTCCCTAGTCCTGGTATTTCCTGGTGCTATATATGTATATTTTGTTTGCATGTTTAGTCTATAGGGAATCATGTATTGAAGACTTTTCTTTAAAAAGCAAGACACACACACACAAAGCAAGACACAATTCATATATCCTTAGACCATTTGCTTGAGCCATAAATGTGACATCATCATTGGTAATTAACTCTGTTTTCCAATCTTGTTAAAAGCATTAAATCAGTTTTTGTTTTTAACTCAAAATGCTGTGTGAATTTCTTCAGCTATTGAACTTATAGCATATATTTTGTTTATGTTTTTCACTCAAAAGCCAAATATTTTGGGTATATCTGTTATGAAGAAATGGTTGTTGCATGTAAACCTTTATAGGCATGTCTTACTTCGCCTGCACTGCATTTGAGAAAAGTGCTATATAATACGTTTGTCACAATGTTAGTTGTACATTTCTTCATTTTCAAGCCCTTTCAGGTACTGTGTTTACTCTAGTGAACAAATATTTACAGTCTCTTCTACGCAAGACTAGACAAGTAAGAAAGTGATTATTGAAGTATGATTAGTACTTTGAACATAGTAAAATACCCTGTGCTTTGGGGACAAGTCAAGAAGAAATGATACTGAGGTGTCTTACTGAGAGAACAAACATGTTCGAAGACCCAGAGGCAAAAAAAAAAAGTCGACATGATAAAATATTAGTAATGTATGAATTATCAAGGGTTCAGGAGTGAGGAAGGGGAACAATGAGGAGCTGATACCAAAGGATCAAGTAGAAAGAAAATGTCTTGAAAATGACAATGACAACATATGTACAAATGTGCTTGACATGATGTATGTAGGGATTGTGATAACAGCTGTATGAGCCCCCAGTACAATGATTAAAAAATCTTGAATGCAACTCATTTAACAGGAGTGGAGACTGAGGAATATGAGTTGGAAGTAGGGGTTTGAGATCCACCGGGTAGGCTATTGCTAGAAGTCTTTAAAGGTCCTTGACATACTTCGGATTTGTTTCCAAAGGGTCTCTTTGGTTTCAGTATGGAGAATAGATGGAGGGAACGAGATAGAAGGCAATAAAGTCTAGAGACACCTGTACCCTAGCAGAAAAATGATAATTTCCTTAACATTTACATAACCACTGGCACATATATGGTACACTTTCATAATTTGCCTCTCTTGTATTTTAGAACACCAGTCTTCATATGGTGCCAAATCAAGGTGTTGGGGGAAGGGTATTGATTGAAGGGGGGCACATCTTGGAACTGAAATTATGTGAAGTTTTTTTTTTTGTCTCAGGTTTTATACTAGAAAGTAAACCTTGGGTATGGTTTCCTGTGTGCTACTTGGAAGATGAGGTTTTGATGATATGATAGTTTTTCAAATGAATAACCTTTATTTTTGTACAAATCATGTGTACTTTCTATATTTGTTTGCCCACTGCCACCACCCCCCTCCCAGTATTTTCAGTGTTTGTTTTTTGACCAGCTTACGCTTCTTGGGCAGCTTACTATGGGCTTGGAACTCAAAAGAAGTAGGATAGCTTCCTTTCTTGGGAAGAACTAGTCAGGAGTAAGCAGAGTGCCAAATGTGACATATAGCTCTGACAAGTTGGAAGCACTTACCTGTCAAGGGACCTGGAGGACTGTGCAGAGGATGCAGCCTTAAGCAGGGTACTCAAACAACAATTCTGTACAGCCATTGCAGGGTGCCTTTGTGTCTGACCTCGCGCTTACCTTGTAGTAACCAATTCCGAATAACTTGTTCATGAAACAGTTAACTCTGTTGGCAGCTCAGAGTGGAGAGAAGTAGATTTTTTTTTTTGAGAAGTAGATATTGAAAGCAATAACAAGGGGGGAGGGATCGAAAAGGAGCTGATAGCAAGGGCTCAATAGAAATTAAATGTTTAGAAAAGAATGATGGGAATATAAGTACAAATATGCTTGACAATTGGTATATGGATTGTTGTAAGAGTTGTAAGATCCCCCAAGAAAATGATCTTTTAATAAATTTTTTTAAAGGCCAATGAATATCGGGGTCGAAAGTGCCCATAACTATGAAGCATTCTTAAGTCATTAGTGACTTTAAATGCCTTTGCAGGGGGCATATGAGCTAAAGTGAGTGAGCTTTCTATAAGTAAAAAAATATTGTTGACAATTCAAGAAGTCACAAGAAGAGGAACGGAATTAAGCTATCTTGTTTCCCTTCTTCCCATAAACAGGTTACAGATGGAGTGCATGTTGAAGAAGTACTTAAAACATTGGCACATAGAAATTAGTCTACTAAATATAAAATGAATGCATTTCGGCGCAGGTACTTCTCGGTCAGCTATTCCATTGACATCTGTCAGCTCTGACAATCGTAGTAGTAGCAGCATAAAAGAGAAGGGTGATAAGTTTCATTCCATGTGGTCTGAAAAAGTTAGTCTTATTGGCGTCTGGTGCAGAGGCACGTAGTGAAGTGATAAACGATTCCGATTTGGAATCAGTTTATGGGATTGATATTTTGTTTAATTGCTCACTAGCTATTTGATCTTGTGTAAGTTTCTTTTCTTACCCAGTGATAGAACAGTTAACGCATTTGGGGGCTAACTGAAAGCCCGTCCAGGGACAGTTTACAACCTATTTCTAAAAATCAGCCATTGGAAGGCCCCGTGGCGCACAGTTCTACTGTGATCGCTTCAGCATGGGTCGCCATGCTGAGCAACTGGTTAAAGGAGTTTTAAATCTTTTAAGCATTGCTGTCTCTACATTGTTGGAAGTGTGAAATATAAACCTTCAAATATTTGAACTATTTTTTTAAGTGTTACAGTCTTAGACCCGCTTGTACTTTACATGATTTTCTCATTCAAATCTATGCTACACTCAATTTACACTAGGAAAAGTGCCATTTGCTATCTTAAAAATTTTTTTTTACAATGTGCCATTTTACCTAGTTGTATTGCTCATAATATTTAATATTATGCTAGGTAAATTGTAGACACCTAATAGTGGTTAGGATGGTGGAAAGGTTTAAAATGTCAATGGCATTATTCAGCTTACTGCACGTTTGACATCTAAACCTTTCCCTCCTTTAGGTAAAGTGATGACTATAAGTATGGGTTTTTAAAATTGGGTTTTATTTTGTTTTTGTAAGTTCTACCTACACTGTATATGTATGTACACACATATATACATATATATTGTACGTATATTTTTGTTGTTACCTAAAAACTTAAGTGTGCTTTATATTCTAGGTCCGGTTTATCACTAAAATATGGCATCCTAATATTAGTTCTGTCACGGGGGCTATTTGTTTGGATATTCTGAAAGATCAATGGTAAGAGACTTTTTATTTGCCATTTCTCTCATATGAATTCCAAGGTTATATTTAATGTGTACCTTAGAGCACAAGCATTCATTATACTTCTTTGTTGTGGCAAGAATTTTTAAAACTATGATGCCTCCAAGTATGTGCCTGCAAGTGCTGTAGCTGAGCCTCCTAATCCATTCAAATACAAGCTTGGTTGGTGATAGCAAGAATGCTCGCTTGGATTTCCTTTGTTATGTCAGTAAATTTTATTTCTTTGCTAGACTTATTAAAAAGTAAGGCACTTTGCTGAAGAGAATTCCTAGATAATAAACTTTGCTTATCATCATTAGTCATCAATTAAATAAAAATTATTATCACAATTGGATACCATTACACAAGCAGTAGTCCTGGTAACCCAGTAGTTAAGTGTTGCTAAAGATCTGGCAGTCTGTTTCTGTGAAGATTACAAGAAAACCCGGCTATAGGGGTGCTCTGAGTTGGAATTGACTTGAGGGGGACACCAAACACCTGCAGTTGGGAGTCATGCATTGCTCATAAAATGTGGTTCCTCTTGTTGGCACTGGCAGCATCTAACTAAAAGTAGACACAGACCCTTTGGCTCAGCAGTCCCACACTTAGGTATGCATCCAAAAGAAATGAGTACATAACGTGTCCACCAGAAGGCCTATTAAAAGATCTTTCACAGCACGTTTAGTCATAATAGCCTCAAACTGGAAATAACCCAAATGTCTTAGCAGCAGAATGGATATATGATAGAATTGTGTGCTGGAACAACAGGACATAGCAGTTGAAGACCATACTGTGGGTGTAAACAACATGGCTGGTCTCATGCAGTGATAAAAGCCAGACAGAAAAGAGTGCTTTATGTGAGGTTTAGAATCAGCCACATCTGATACGTGGTGATAAAAATGAGGCTCGTGGTTGGGTAAGAGCAGGTTTGTATAGGAGGGACAACAAAAAGAGAGGCTTTTTAAGGCCTGGTGATGATGACGTGTGTACGTATATTGTTAGATGCTGTGGAATTGTCCTATGTGTATTCTCACCCCCTCTTCCTCCTTACATTGTTTCTGCTGTTATTTTTTCCCATTGATGATTGTGTTCATCTTTATAAAAATTTACATTTTCTTTTTTTTTTTACATTTATTTTCTTTGGATAACCAAAAATGGTAAAATCTCTTCACCCCTGCATAATTGTGAGAACTTGGAAGCATCTAAAATTATAGTAAACTTGCCTTTCTAAAGTTAGACTACTTGAAGTTTTTTTGTCAGTTTTGAGTTCAAACTGCCCTTTAGCTTTGCTAAAGGGTTAAATACTTTAAAATTGTGTAACAATTTTTAGTAGAAAGGCTGATAATTCTTACTGGGTAGGTAGGTGCTTGTTTGCTAGATTAATGTTTCCTTCAAAAAGTTATGACATAATAGAATTGAAAGATAATGGCATTTTTCTATGAACTTTTTGAATCACTTGGTTTTTACTTGGTTTTAGAATACTATTGGAGGTAAGTTCCACAAGCTATTGATACATGAATGGTCTTATCACTTTGTATTATAAACGAATAGAAGGGCAGGCAATGGATAAAGCTGAAAAGGATGTTGGCAACAAGTAAAAAAGAAAGGCTTGGTGGATGGTTTGAATTGTCTAATGATCCACTGTAAAGAAGAAAATATAATAGGTAGATAAGTGATTGTAATACAGTTGCACAATTTAAGTACAGTAACTGGTTAAGATAAAATGTAAATTACTTTTAGGTCTCGTAGTTTTTTTGTTGTGGTTTCGTGTTTTCTAAGTATTCAGAAAGATCCCCTTTACCATTGCCACTGAACGAGGTTATTTTCCTTATTTTGAATACTAGGGCGGCAGCAATGACTCTTCGCACTGTATTATTGTCTTTGCAAGCGCTGTTGGCGGCCGCAGAACCAGACGATCCACAAGATGCAGTAGTAGCAAATCAGGTCAGATGGTGGCTTTTTAAACCCTTGATTGATACTTACCTAAGTCTTTACATTAGTGTTTTGTAATTATTGACACATTACCTACCATAGCCTATTGAAGCTGACTTTGAAGGTATTTCATCAGATTTCACTGTAAAACGCCTTATTTATTGTTAACATACTCTCGGGTGTACAGTCAGTGGGTTTTTTCTAACATGAATTTTTTTCAAGTGTACAGAAAGTTGACAGAGTGGGAACATATTAGGGTTTTCTGAGCATTCTCCCCTCCTATACCCAGAAGTGTTTTTCTTCTCTTAACTTCTGAAACACTTTCTACAATTAGTTCTCATCTTTCTTCTGCCCTTTCACTGTATTACGTTGGTTTTGACATTGTCCGTCATACTTTCCATTGTGGGCTCTAACTTGGATGATCATAGTCATGCTGCCCGTATCCCCTATACAGAGATGAAATGTTCTGGCTTGACCTCACTTCTGCGCACAAGAGGCACTTTCCCATACAATGAATCCTCAAGTACAGCCAAAACTGAATGCAGAATGTGAACATCTGCAAACTGTCTGTCTGTTCATGATTGTCTTATCTTTCCATTATCTGCTTTGCTAAGTATCCAGGTCATAGACTGGGGAATCCTGCCTAGGTTTCCTTTTCCCTGTTGATTCCATTCCCTAGAATCTCTATTATTTTTGTATACTTCCTCTGATCACACTATTAGGTCAGGATCTTTATAGTTCTCATTTCTACTCTGATAGTTCTCCTTTCCTCCTCCAGCTTCTTTATTGGTCTGTTAGTTTCATAAAATGCAAATTTTATTTGACTATAAATCCTTTTTATAGCATTACTATTAACAATGAATTGAATTTTAATTCATTATTTAAAGAAGTCTTTTTTTTTTAATCATTTCATTGGGGGCTCTTACAACTCTTGTTACAAACCATACATCAGTTGTATCTGACATATTTGTACATTTATTCCATCGTTCTTTTCTAGACATTTACTTTCCATTGAGCCCTTGGGACCAGCTCCTCTTCCCGCCCACTCCCCAACCCTCGTGTCCCCTTGATAGCTTATAGATTGCTGATTATTTTCAAATCTCACACTGACCGTTGTCTCCCTTCCCCTCTGGTTTCTGTTCTTCCCTTTTTATTCCTAGGTTCCATGTGTTGTGAGTTTTACCTCTTGCCTAAACCTATGTTCATGCTCCTGTCTAGTCTAGATTGGGAGGCGGCACTGAGGTCTTGATAGTGGGAAGGGGGTGGGGGTGAGGAGGCCTCCAGGGAGCAGAGGTAGATTGCGTGACCCATTAGTGCTCTAGTGCACCCTGATTGACTCACCCCCTCCCTGCGACCCCTCTGGCGGGGATGTTCCGTTGTCCATAGGTGGCCTTTGGGTCTGTGCTCTAAAGAGTTCTCAAATAAGTTGAACTGTCTACAAATTTAACTGTATCTCCAGAAATTTTTTTCTTTATAAATATTTTACTGTGTTTAAAGTAAAAGCTTACAAATCAAAATTAGTTCCCCTAAAAAAAGGGGGGGGGTTCCATTTAGTAACTTCTTTTTTTTTTCCATTTAGTAATTTCTGTACAGATTATTGTTTTGGTTTTTTTGTTTGTGTTTTTTCTGTACAGATTATTGATTGATTATATTTTCCGTAATGTGTCACCATTCTCATTCATTCTGTTTTGGTTGTATCATTTAAATAAGTGTTTAAGTGAAAATATGCACAATAAATTATTTTGTGCCATTAGTGTAAATTTTTACAACTCTACTAGTACTTTTCATTTTGTTTCCATTAATTAATTAGCTTCACTTCCCCTCCTTGCCTTCTCATCTTTGCTTTTTGGTAACTATTGACAATTTGGTCACATATAATTAATTGAGGAAGCACATTTCTCATTGGTAATATTGTGTATTTCAGGAGCATATCTATTATTTAGCTAAGTAACCGACAGAAATAGCTTCTGTTGCAAAAATAGCTTCAGTTTCAAGTTCATAGGGTATCTTAGACTGCTAGTCTTGGGGTTCTTCAAGTCTTGGTCCTGTATAGCTAGCCTCTTTTAGGAATTTAAGCTTTATTCTACATTTCTCTCTCATTCTATGGATTATGTAGATGATTATTCCTGTTTAGTACTTCCTTCTCTGAGTCTTCTGTTTCTTCCTTTCTCTGGTTGAGTAGAAATGAATAATTGTATCTTATATAAGATCCCAAGTAGTACTCCCCACATTGTGACGGAAAACATAGCTGACCCGTCTCGCAGTACCGGTGTGTGGTTGTGTCTTAGAAGTATACGTAACTCATATGTCTGAGGAATTCCTAAAAGTTTGTGGGAAATTTCAGTTATCTTTTAATTGAGTATTCCATAAACTTTTTGAAGCCCCCCTGCATATATACACAGACATATGTACATATGGCTATGGATACATCACATCTTTATACCTGAACACAGAGATGCCTATGTATTTTTCAGTTGTTACAAAATTGTATATGTCATCTCCTTTACCAGAAATCTTTTCTCTTAGTGACATCATTGACCTTGGTCTCAGAGTGCACACTTCACCTGCATTTCATGCTGCTTTTCTCATCATTAAAAATGACTGGTGTCCAGTATATTTAGAAGGAGCCGTGCTGGTGTAGTGGGTTATGTGTTGGGCTGCTAACCATGAGATTAGCAGTTCTTCTACCCTATCCTATAGGGTCGCTATGAGTCAGGATTGACTCACTAGCAGTGAGTTTTTTATTATCTTGCGTGTTTTTTTTCCTCTTTACTGTCCCCCTCCCCAGCCCCCCAAGTCACCAATGAATTGATCTCTGTATTTTGCATCCTAAAATTCCATTGTGTAAAATGTACCACGTTTTATCTGTTCAACTGTTGGTGGGCACTGAAGTGTGTGCCTGTGTCTGTGCCTATGTGTCTTACCAGCTCTAGAGTGTATATTCTTTTAGTAGCTGAACTGTCACCAACTTGAATTCAGATTCTCAGTTTGCTGTGTTAATACATGAGTCAAACTATCTTCAAACCTATATTCATCTCCAAATTATTGTTTTCAAACTCACATTTAAAAATACTGCATTCATTTCTGCCATGTTAGCTTTCCCAAAAGGACAGTTTGCTTCTTTTTCTTTTAACGAGTTTCTTCATGCTTTAACACTTTAATGTATACATTATCTGTTATGGGAAACTTTTATTTCCCATGAAAAACTCATTTCTTGTTTTATGTATAACTTTGTTATATTTCTCAAAGGTACTTAAGCAGTTATTTTTTATTTTTACTTTGCCTTACTAAAGAATCAGTAGCCCTGCCGGTGTGCAGTGGTTATGCATTGTGCTGTCAGTAGTTTGAAACCAACAGCCTCTCCACAGGAAAACGACAAGGCTCTGTTCTCTGTGAAGAGTCAGTCTTGGAAAGCCACAGGGTCAGGCGCACCTGTCGTACAGTAGACATCAACTCGATGGCAGTGAGTTTGGTGTGTTTGCTGAGTAATGGTGGTTGCCAAATGTTTCAAACATATGAGAAACCTTGCCTTTAGAAAGGAATCTGTTTCTTCGTCCTTTTGCTTGTAAGTTGTTGTCCCCTTGGTTCTTACCCACGTGTTGAAAAACTACTAAATAATGAGTCAATAGTTTTTATGTTACAACTTCGGATGTGTGGTTCTCTGAATCACTCTTATAGCAGTAGCAAAACAGTGAAGTCCAGTTAATTTCTAGCCTGAGTTGTGTTTAATATGGAAGTTGATCACAGTTGTTAATGCCCCCATCATTTTAGAAGCAAGTTATTTAGTAGTGAATAATGTATACAGCTACAGTTTTAAAGGATTTCTATTGCCTTAGTATGAATTTTCTGCTAAATGTTATCTGTCTTTGTCTTCAGTTAATGTAACGTGAATCAAAATTTTAAGTTAAATCAACTTGAGTGATTTTGCTTGTTTACAATAGAAAGTCAATTATTTTTAAATGTAAATTCATTACTTAAGGAAAAAAACAGACTTGGGTAATTAAGAACTGAACAACCAGTATGGCTTTTTAAACTGTATTGACATGTGAATCCATTTTTTGCCTCCATGTAGTACAAACAAAATCCTGAAATGTTCAAACAAACAGCTCGACTTTGGGCACACGTGTATGCTGGAGCCCCCGTTTCTAGTCCAGAATACACCAAAAAAATAGAAAACCTATGTGCTATGGGCTTTGATAGGGTAAGTACTTTAAAGACATAGTGATTTTTAAATATGGATTGATTTTAAATTCTTGCTGTTACTCCTTCTCTGGGGTAGGTAGGAGGATTCCAAGGAGAGGCATACTAAATCTAGTTTTCATTAAGAAAATGTTCTTTTGATGTTGTTACTTAAATAACTGGTTCTTGTTTTTTGTTGTTGATTCTACACATTTATTTTTAGAACTTTTTTTGTTTGTTGCAAATGCAGTACACCTTACAGAAAAGAAATTTAATTTCTCAATAGACAATATTTTATGAATATTTCTTTGAGAGTTTTTTGTGTCCCTTTTTCTTTACAGAATGCAGTAATAGTGGCCTTGTCTTCAAAATCCTGGGATGTAGAGACTGCAACAGAATTGCTTCTGAGTAACTGAGGCGTCCACTGAGAGCTACTGAGAGAGTCCAGCGCGCCCCTTCTTGAGGAGCATCACCATCTGTTATTTTTAGAATTCTGCATAGATTTCTTTTAAACTGGCATTCTTGCCTAATGATGTGATCTAGGCACCATTGGAGACTGAAAAACAAACAAACAAACCTGCTCTGTAAATAAAGCTAATTAAACGTCTGTGTAAATTTAAAAAGGGGAAATACTTTAATTTTTTTCTTACTTGATAGTGTAAAAATTCTTTGAGCTAAGCTAAAACCATGGAAAAAACATGCTACCTTAGCATTTAGTGGTGTACCAAGACTAGCAAGAGTTTGCTTCAGGATTTTGTTGACTCATTAAGATGCTATTTTGAGTGTGTCAGGGCCATTCAAATTGTTGGTGTTGCATCACAGCTACCTTAACTGTTTTTAACCTGGACCCTCTGTGCCTGTGAACTTACTTGCATGCTTGTACTTGACTTCTTAGGGTGGGTAGCTGCAAAGACGACCACCATTTTAAGCATTTGAGAATCTTAGATAGGAGATTTATACAGAATTGAAGATGGTGACCTTATTCAGAACCTTTTGTCCTTGCTGACAGACTGGGACATCTCACCCCCGTTTCCCCTCTGCCACCCACAGCTGACACTGTTTGATGAGGAGGTGCGCTGAGGGGCAGTGGCCCTGGCTCCATTCTTAGGTCATAGGTTTGGGATGTTTTCTCACAGTTCTTGAAACACTCTTAAAGCTTTCCTATGTACGTAATAATGTGAAATGGAGCTGCCAATTCTATTTTTCTTGCAAAAACAGTAAATACTTGATGTTGCAGTATTCCCAGACTTAATGAAAAACAAACCCAGTTTAGTTTACAGTTAATTTGACATCTTTCTATTTTTAAAACTGTCTTCGATGAAATTTTCTTTGGAGAACTTGCAAGGATGCAATCAACTGCAGTAGTTTTTATAGCCTAATTTTGGGCTTTATAGAGATTGCTTTATTGGATACTTCAAAAATCACTCTTGCTTGCATTTTCCCCATATGGACACATGAAAGCTGTGTTGGTGTTTTTCTGTACATACTTCAAATGCACATAGGAATAGAAGTGTGTTGCAAATCTAGCTTTCTTTATGATGTTTCTGATAATATGAGAATTGAAAACTTTACCCTCTCTTGTACATAGTCAGACTTTATATCCATATTAAAGTTACATTTCATTCTAAGTTCAAAGTTTGAAAATTGTTAGTTTGACAAGCTCAAACACTAATGTGACCATTTTTTGAAGATTGAAGTGACTTATGCAGGCAGTCCTATGTGTAGAAATACAGTGCTTACTAAATTTTCAGGACCAATGCAAAATAACAAAATTGTAACAATCAGACTGAATTAAAGTAAGGCTGTATGTAGAAAGTCATAAGGGTTTGTTTTCTTAAATTGTTATTTATCCTAAATTATGGTTAAATGTTTGGTGGAAAATAATTTTTTGAACCATAAATTCAGCATAACTTCATTTGACTTCTCAATAATTTTAATACTAGAAGCAATAAAAAATTATGAAATACATTGTAATGTTAAGGATGTGAAGGTTCTTCCAAAATCATAAGGCTTTTCTAAACAACAGTAAACTCTTGTAGTTGGTATTATTGCATAATAAATACAAGTTGCTATGTTTTTCCCCCCATATATTCATTTAGGCATGAATTTCTTTATATACAATCATCTCCTTTTATTGTTGTAGTTTAGTTATTTTCTAAAGATGCCAAAGGAAACAAGATTTTTCTTTATTTATTTTAAACAGTTAAAACCTTATCCTTTATTTTTCGAAGTTAGGTGGAAGTGTGAAAATGTGGACAGTTGCTCTGTTAGCTAGGATTAGTTTTTTTTTAGTGGAGAGTGGCTTGGTAATATAAGTAATATTTGGATTTCTTAGTATTGAATACATCTACATAGTTTACTATTATCAGGGTATATTTAATTGTTCTGTGGTTAGACAAAGGAAAGAGAGAACTTGTGAGTTACTTGGCTTTTGGAGGCAGCTGTATCTTGCCTTTGATTTTTATACGTATTAGTCCCAGAGGGTAACTACTCATCTAACTGTAATTTAACATCCCTAGTGCCCAGAAAATTGGAAAGCATGGTGATAATACTTGGCTGGCAAGGTTCTCCATAATGGGCTTTTTTAATTATAAAATTTTTATTTACCTCATTTGCATTAATGTGATAATCCCACTTTCCTTTCTGGTACGTTTCCCACTGCCCTTTTTGTTAATGTTTTTCACTTCACTACAGGTTTTTCCCCAGACATAAATCAAGGTAACTGCTTTTTTCCCTTCTGATGTAAATGTTTAGAACAAAGACATTTAAGTTGTTAGGCCCAGGAAAGAGGTGCCCTGGTGGAACTTATTTGTATAATTTTCCATGCTCCCTTCAGTTTTGAAACCTCAAAGAGTAAGATTAAAACAATACTGTTAGATCCCATTTAGGGCAGGGAGATGTTCTAGAAGTCTCTAATGTTCTAATAGAGTTTGTTTCTGCTTTGTTTTTGTAAGGTTCATTTTCCTAAGTGTATGCCTGACTTTTGAAAGAAGAAATAATTAGTTGTACAGTATATGACTACAGAATGAATGAGTAGTAGTTTGTGATCTAAATATGTATGTAGCAATATATAACTAAATATTTGAGGAACATGGTACTAAATTAAACGCATTGAATTGGCTTCCCCAAATGTTTAGAATTGTGACTGTGGGTTACCGAAACACATAACGTATCCAAGGATACATAAATGTTTGTAGTGGAGTATTGCTTTTTAGGCGAGTCATTATTAAAATGAAATTAAGACTGGTTTTCCTTTTCGGGGGGAGAGGGAGCCGTCTATCACATTTAAGATGGTCGCTGGCACTTAAAACTATGCAAAATATTTTTTAAATATCTGTAAAAATAATTGGCAGTTAAAAGTGGGTTTTGCTTATTTGTGCAGCATATTATGTTAATCTTTAGGCTGCTTAATAAGTTCATAAATGTGAAAAGCAGATCTTGGCTCGAAGTATATGCATGATTGAGACTTTTAACATTCTGCAGAAGGGGAATGGTACTATTTCTGTAATCCTACGTACCAGCACAGGAAATGAAGACTTGTTTAAAAGATTGAAGATGGATTCAGACATGAAAGACTGGAGCCAGGTATACCTTCTTCCTGTACATAAATGGAAGCTTCCCTAAGAAAAAGAGGCTTCTGTTTACAGTAACTTTGCTTCATGGGCTTTTCTGAAATTCTGTGGTATTAGTCACCTTTTCTTGGTCAGGACTTTACATTCCAGGGTGCAAACCATTGACTATACAAATTTGTGTTTCCATCATTTTGGTACCAATATAAAATGAATGCTTTAACATCAGCCAGTTGCTATCACTGGGGAAGAAGGCAACTTGAAGTATTTACTGATAAATCACCTTTTTTTCTTTTTTCTTCAAGTGTGACTTTCCTGCAGTATCTACATCTATCAGTCATGTCATGTGTTCTTACTTGCACTGTTGCAACATGGATCAAAAACCTTGTGACGAAGGGCTAGGGGAGCGCTAAGAGCTCTCTTGTCCCATTTGTTCTGTTCCCGCTTCAGTGGACTGATCTGCCCTCAGAGAAAGACCTGTGAGCATCACCCAAATGTCCGTTGTGAACGTGTCACCTTCCACGTGGTTATTTCAGCCACGCCGTGACCTACTAAAATCAGGGTGGCACTGTTGTTCAGTTTGGTTCCAGGGGACGAGTGGAAACAAATCATTGCACTGTGCTGTTACTGATCCTTGTTTGCTTGCTGTTCCTTTTTCCAGGCATCGTAATAAAAGCTAGACTATTTCTTTGGGGGGAAAGAGACTTATTTAATGTAATTTAAAGACCTTTTCAATAGAAAATGGAATGCTATTGAAAAGAATATCTATTTTTCAGCTTTCAGCAATTGATGGTGCTTTGTTGTGGTGTCCCGCTGGAAGCCTACTGCCATCATAGGGATTCTCATTAACCTCACTGAAAAAGAAGCTTGCTTGTTATCGTCTCTAGGTCTCTATTCTAAACAATCTGTTAGTGATGATAAATTCTGTAGGAGGGTCTCTTCTGGGCCGTTAACTTCCTGTAAGGGGGAACGTGGGTGGGTTACCAGAAAGACCATTGAAGTAGGGTGGGCTGTGGGTGGAGGGTTGGGTATTTGTCTTGAGAATTAAAAACTACGAAACACTTTTGTACACAACTGATTTTTTTAAAAAATAAACACATTTTTAAAGATGTTGAATTTTTTTCCCCCACCTCACTGGGAATGCTTAAAAATAAATGCATGCATGTTTTCCCCCGTAAACAGTTTTATCTTATTTCTGGGTACTCCGATTCTGGACAGGCAGTTTCCATGTTACTTTACATAAGAAAAGGAACCAAATAGTTCTTGACAAGGCTTCATAGTAATGAGCCCACGGTGTGAAGTGCAGAAAATGTATCAGGTCTTTGAATCTTAAAGCTTGAAATGTTCTACTCTAATTAAAACCAGCGACTAGAAAATAGAATACTATTTGGTTGGGTTCTAACTTAAAATTGAGACTAGGTGGAATGTGTGATGCTGGCAAAATGATGCTTGTTCTATGTTGACATCTTTCTAGAAAGGTTGCCTAGTACTGTGGAAAGCACTCTGAATTGTCTTGGGGTTAGTCCTGAGTTATAATGCCAGCCTTTACCCAAGATCAGACCTAGAATCTTTCTGCGCTTCAGTTTCCTTGTCTCAGTACATTATCTGCCTATGACTGTACTGTTTGTGAAAATCAAAACTGATATAGCACTGAAAAAAAGCTAACATTTGTATTAGCGTTCATGTAATTTTTAACATGAGGTCAGTTTTGGCTAAACGGCAGGAGGAGGATTTTGTGCTCAATCTGAGACCACCAATAGGCTGGGTTTTATTCTGGCTTGCTGAAGGAGCTTTTCTTCCCTTCAGTCTGTTTTCAAAGTCTAATGCTTGTGAATTAGCCACGGGTTACTGCTCCCTTGGATTGCCCTGGTAATTAGATCAGTCTCCATTGCTGAGAGTTGGTGCTCCCTATTTGAGGGGCCAAGGCTGATAGGTGTCATGGTGTCTCCAGGGCATTTATGCCCATCAGGCAGCACCCTGCGAGCTTCTGTTGGCCAGAGATGGAATTGTTCCTGACCTGCAATACCAGTCTGAAATGGAGTTCAAGGGAGCGCTCCGAGTGTTCAGATTTAAGGCCAGTAAATACAGGGTACATGTTTAGATCCTCAGACATCTAAATGTTTATAAGCTCAGTGTTGCGTCCTATATGAATACCCCACCTCTTCATGTTAACGTTCACATTCCCCACTGCATTCAGTATATTAAAACAATTAGCATTTTACTTAACAGTCCCTTCATGTCCTTTTCAATAGGGGTGGAATGAAAGAAGGAGCACCAAGATAACCCACCTGACAGTATTTACAGAGCTATTAATAAATGAAGGAAAACTGCATAAAACAATTTGAGCAGCTCAAAAGCATGTTGTCTTCATTTCTACCTTACAACCTAACAGCTTTGCTGAATGTACAAAATACCAGAGGCTTCAAAGTTTTTGTAGAGAAACTTGTTTCCCCATGAAATTTTTAAAGTCCCTTACCAATGAGGGCAGTTAGTCAGTTTTACTTTAATAGCCAAGATTAAGCTTTATTATGTGTAGTATATATATTTGCTGTGCATGCTCATTAGTATTTGCATTATGACTGTGTTCTCAACAATAATGAATTCCATGATCATTCCCAGCCACACAGGTTGTCTAGTGGGTATCCAGAGGCATAATATTATTTCTGTGTTGTCTACTAAAATTAGTAGCATTGTGAGACTTAAACTGTGGTACACGTTTCTTGGGATCCAAAAGAATGGGTTCCTGCACTGCTGTCTTCACCCGTGGAGCGACAAAAGGAGAGTTGACTGGCCCTAAAGTAACTTTATTCTATCAGAGACTTACCTTTTGATTGCACGGTCATAATTGTTCTCTGTGTAGAAGTACAGGTTATTCCTTATGTTAATGTTTTGAAGATGTAAAAATAGGTCAGCCTTGGCTTCCCTTAGGCCCAGGAGGATCTGGACTGGTTGTCTAATTCTGCCATGTTCTGGTCAATTGCAGTAGGTGGATGCTTGACTTGTGGTCTGATGGGGGTGGGGCCTGGCCTGAGGGGCCGACCAGCACTCCCCACCTCCTACACACATTAAATCTCAGAACCACTTAAAAAAAAAAAGGTTATATGTAAATAAGAGGTTATAGCATTTCATTATTTTAAAATGTTTTCCCTCACATCTTTGTTTTCCGTCAGTAGTAGGGCTCCTGATGGAATGGCAGTGATCTTTTTCCACCTCTAGTACTACAGACAGTAGCTTCCTCTGGCTTTCTTTTTGGAGCGTTAACTAACTCAGTTCCTGTGTAGTTGATGTTTACTCCTGGTCTGGCAGAGTGGAGCTGTGTTCTGTAGAGTCTTAGATCGCCAACCCTCCCAAGGCACCTGACTTGAACTTGACAACCATTTGTACAAGTCGAATTGACTTGATGAATGGCAGGAAGTCAGGGACGTGTAGGTGGTACCTACACGGCCAAATACCATGAAGATGGGTTTGGGCTTGGGCTCATGCTTCTGTAACTGGCATTTTGGTTGTATCAGTTATATTAAATCTTTTCACTCCCTGTGTTCATTCCCAACCTTTCTCCACATGGCGAAATTTAGATGTGACAAAATGCCGAGAAAAGGTTTCATGGGGAGAACTTGTAGAAAAATGCATTTATGGAAGAAATTCCTTTGGAACTGAATTGCAGATAAGGAAAATGAGTAAGTGGAACAAGAAGACGATGTTAAGGACCTACTTTGGATTAGTAATGTTGGGATGAACTGGAGAGGGGGAGGATATAGTGAAAGATCCAGAACTGGGCAGAAACATCCCTCACGGATTGCGGAAACCTTGACCCTCAGCGCTTTGGAAATCCTCTTCATTTGAGTTGCAAGCCCTTCTGCGCCTCTCGTTTCATTATCTTTAGAACACACTTCCCTCTGCCTGTTCTCTTTTTCTCCAGATTCCTTGGATAGTGTCCTATCTTCCCAAGGGTGCTTCTTAGACTCTTGGTTACATACCAGGGCCTTGTTTTTTTCTTGTTTTTCCCTTCACTGGGCAGGTCTTTACTTACACTGCTTTCTCCTAAGCTGTTGGAATATGCTTTGTCATTCTTTTCTCTAACTCCACTTTTTACCACCTGTGTCCTGAACAACTTGAATTATCGTGTGGCCTTTTTGAGAGTGGGCTCCATTGTGACACTGAACTGGTCTGAGGATCCCAAGCAAAACCTTGGAGGTCTTGGGGAATGAGACCCTGATTTGTCGTTGGGTAGCATGATTATTGTTATTAGAACGCGCTCATTTCAGAAAATTTAAATTTAAAAAAGGTAAGCTCTACCTCGTTCTCTGGGATGTACTTAATGTTTTTGGAGTATGCCCTCTAATACACTTGTGACAATTTAATGTATGATTACTATTTGACTTGTTCAAGCATAATAGTTATTACACATTTTGAATGGCTATAAATAGACCACCAAGTAGGTATAACATGTTCTACATGGCATATTACATGTTTGTGGTTTCTAGTTTTTCTCAATTGCAAATTGTGTTGTGTGGACACCAAAGGCACAGTCAATGAGTAGAGAAATTGCTTTTATATCAGC